CAGTGCCTGGAGAGCAGCGCTGCCCACCCCACCAGCGAGAGCGGTGTTACGAGGCTGGAGACCACCACAGTCACATCAGAAATCCACAGTCAGCAACAGCTCAAAGACAACAGGAGGGCGACATCGCCCACTGCTCCGAGGCACCCGACCGCCGACCTGAGCCTGCGAGGGTTTGTTTGCCGGCTTTATCGGGGCCATCAGGCTGCGATCCCAGACGGCTGCTTCTATCGGATTCACTTCAGGCCCCATGAGCTCACGGGTGCTCGCTGCTGGGGTCACGGAGACAGCCTCCTCTCCAGACACATCCTCCCCGGGCATTAGGGTGCGTGTGGGGCAACCGCTCCCTTTGGAAAACAAGGGGGAAGATCCCGGACGTCCTCAGCAACGGGGTGAAATCTGTGACTCACTCCCTGACAGTGCACAGAGGGGTTGTTGACCGACACGGGCAAGGTCAAAACACCACTCCAGAGAGCCGAGGCGTCTCTCCAACGCCTCTACCCTTCCTGGAGGCGTGAAGCAAGCAGCAGAGAAATGCCTGAAGTGCCCAGGGCAGCGTCAGAGCAGCAGAAGTGAGACAGCAGCAGCCTCTGGCAGTTGAGGAGGAAAGGAGCCCGGAGATGAGGGCATGCCTACCTTTGTGATTCATCGTCTTCAGGCACTGCTTGCTCTGGATGTCCCACAGCCGGACTGTTTCGTCGTGTGAACCGGAAAGCAGCAGGCTGCCATCCGTGGAGACCGACAGACACGTCACCTGGTTCCTGGAATGAGGAAGAGGATGTTCACACTCAGGATGACCTGCGGACTGCCAGAAACTGGTGTGGTGGGCAGGCGGGGGCACAGGAGTGTCTGGCAGTCTGTCTGGTCCCTCACCTGTGCCCTTTGAAGACCTTCCCGTTCTCCCGCTCTGTCTGGAAGGTCTGGTCTCTCTGGACCGGCTGCAGAAAGCAAGGGAGGAAGGGAGAGAGAGGTTTAAATCCAGGAAGACTGAAGCCAGCAGGTTCATCACCGTGTCTGGAGGGGGCAGAGGAGACCCAGGGAACCCAGGCCCTCCCGCGCCCTGGCAGGTCACGCCAGCCACACAGGCGTGGAGGTGACAGCGGCTCGAGGTGCCACGCCACGAGCAGCACCCAGCAGATCTGCAGCCTCACGCGCTCACCCAAGCACAGAGGTCAACCTGGAAGATGGATCCGTCCATGCCACCGCAGAACATGTGGTACTCGGAGAGGTCAAGAGTCACAGCCATGATCCCCACATCGAAGAGGACGGAAACCAGGAGCTCCCCAGAGGAGATTTCCCAGAGCTGGAGTGACAGGGTACAGCAGAATGAGGGGCTTAAACGTTAACGACAGGAGCGGAAGAAGGTGCTGCTGCTCACCAGCACCTGCCCAGCGGCAAGCTGGCAGCACGCACGGGCATCCCCTCCTTCCTGCGGGTGGGGAAACCGAGGCCAGGGCGTAACCACGGCAGAGCCCAGGACAGGCTCTGTGTGAGCATGAGACAAGAAGTTTCCCAGGCAGCTCCGAAAAAAATGCCCGCCCTGCCCCCAGGGCAGCCCCCTCCCGGCAGGGCAGGAGCAGGCGGCGGGCTCCGGGCTCCAGCCTGCTCCGCTCCTGGCCCTTCCAGACCAAGGGGAATCGGCGGAGCTGACCCCAACATTCCCCAGGAGCAGAGGGACTGCAAAGCACGCGGAGGCCCAGCCCCAGGGCAGGTGCAGAGAAACTGCTGGTGTTTGGAGAGCCAAAGCCCATTAGGTCTGGCAGCTCTGAGTCATCACAGAGACAGCCAAGAAATTCAGCTACTGCAACCCTCAGGACCGCCTGCCGCAGCCCAGCAGAAACTCTGCTTTTAACCTGTGGGGCTTGAGCACCCCTGGGGCTCGTCTGGGGGGAATGAGCAGAGCCTTACC